AGAGAGAGAGAGAGAGAGAGAGAGAGAGAGAGAGAGAGAGAGAGGAGAAGAGAGAGAGAGAGAGAGAGAGAGAGAGAGAGAGAGAGAGAAGTACCGTGCTCTTTGTACTTTCCGGTAGGTTTCCGTCGCGTATATAAAGACAAAGACAGCCGGAATACCTTGCGGTGGGATCACGGATGCGGATACGCAACCAGGAATACACGAAGGCAATAAAACCGCGACGGTACAAGATCTGGAGTCCCGAGAAGCCTCCTTTGCAGTTAGTCCTCGCCCGTTACCTCGTCGAGCGTGACACCAAATCGTTTACGATGCTCGTCGACGATCCCGGGGTAAGAAGCGTCGTTGCTTCTACCCGGCCCGGCACGTCCTAGCGTTTGCCCAATTACCAATTTTGCCAATCGTTCCCCGCCGAAATTTCCGCTCGGCAGATACGCGCGCGCGTCACGTCGCGTCTGATGGTCCGGGCTGAATCGGCGCGACTTTGCAGAGACCCGAAGAGATCGATAGTGTATTCGCACTCTCATTACCTGGCGCGGCCATTATGCGCCTGGCTCCGTGACCCTCGACCCCCAAACCTCTTGTGCGTCCCTTCGAAAAAAATCCTTTCCGAGAAGAAAGACGCAATTTGGCGGGACGACGTTTAAGCGGAAATGTTGTTTGTTCTCTGCGCGTAACGTTGGATTTTTCAAGTTACTGTTTCAACAATACGACTCTAGCGTGCAGGCAAAGGGACGCGCGCGCGCGCGCAAAACCCTTCGGGAAATTACACGGCCAACAGAAGCAGCCGTTACACGTCATTATTAGATGAAGTTATACGAAAGTCGCGCAAGTTTTGCTCGTGTAAATACCAAGACACCGCGTGTACCTCCGTTTCGTTGGCGCTTTTTATCCGTCAGAAACGCGGAAGAGTCTCCATTCGCAGAGCACTCAGTCACTCTCTGATTGATATCTAAAAATCCCACATATCACCGCGATGCTAGAGAGAAAAAGAGAGAGAGGATGGCAGTCGATGCAACACCGTCGTATATACGGTTACTGATTCACGGTCGGCAAACACTTCGAGGCCGAAACCCGAGCATCCTCTCTCTCTCTCTCTCTCACTCGCGATACGACTCGTTACCGACGTAGACGTACCTTGGCGAAAGCCAAGAGAGTGCCTGCTTTACACGAGAGTCGCGTGTCTTACATGCGTTGTAATTCACAATGTTACCGCGGCTCGCATCAATATGCCTTCCTTCGCCGACAAACATTGCGCGCATTAGGCGCGTTAGCTAAATCAATTTTGCGTGCGAGAATTTCGCAAGCGAGGAAAGACACACATGCGCGCGTACGCACACGCATGCACGCACGCCGGTTGCCCTCGTCGTGGCTTCCCCTCGCGATTCGCGCCGCGATAAGTCGTATCTCGAGCGTCACCTGGAAGACGGTAACCGATCTCGTTCGAGCGAGCGAGCGAGCGAGCGAGAGAGAGAGAGAAAGGAAAAGAAAGAGGGAACCTGACCCGGCGCGGGGTCAGCGCGTCATCGAGAAGAGCCCTTCCTATCTATAAACCCTTTGTGCTAGTTTTCTCCTTACGGGCAAACGCGCGGCGACCGTCGACGAATCTCTCTCGCCCAATTCCCTTTCGCGCTCATCGGTCGTCCGTCAAGTCCAACCGAGCGCGCTTTCGTTCGCCCGACGACGATGCATACGCCGGAGATCTCCCCGAGAGATCTCGCGATATCTAAGGGCCGTGACACACAGAAAAACTCAAGCAGTAAGAAAACCGACCAACCGCAGCCGACGATTCCCCTTACGACCCAAGAATAATCGATTGTGATCGGTCAATTTTCTCACTGCTCGAGTCTCGCTGCTTGCCGGCTCTCTTCTGTGCGCCACACGGTTCTAATCGCTTCCGTGCTTTCGACATTTGCGGACGTTTGCATTTCGTTGCGAAATTATATTCCCCTCTGAAAGCAATCCTCGGACGAAGCTACCTTTCAGCGGTGCTCGAATTATTTCCTGGATTCATCGTTTTTTTGTTTTTGCGTTCCATTATTATGACATCGTACGTTTTATCACACGAGATAAAACTTAATTATGTCCAAAGTTCGCTTTATAAATGACACCACGAGAGCTACGTGAAAAAGTAGCACAGTTGGTGGTTTCCACGTCCTATGCGTTTGTATAGAAATATAATTGAAAAAGATCGTGCGACTGTCCGACGTGAAAGGGGGCCGACGTGGTGCATTACGTACCGGCGGGAATTTAGCTCATGACATAGAGAAAATGTAATTTGAAAAGATAATTATCTCTCAATATCGTATTGACTATCTGAAATGCGCTTACGCGCTATTTAAAGTAAATGCAAAGCTGCTCTCGCGCCAAATTAAATATTTCTGCGCGCGAGATGGCGCGCGTTTATACGATTCACAAGGAAATATAATAAATTACGACACTGTGCATTGCTCGTAACTCGCGAGCATTTACAATTGTCATCTCTCACAACAGGAGCGGCCCGAATTTCGCGAAGCGATATGAATACTGATTCTGTATTTTCTGCGACATTTCTCGCTGCAAACAGGTTAACAATCCGAATTCGAAGCCAAAATTAGCGACTGTCCTCGGGCGTTCATCGATCGTTTTCGCAGAATCGTGACAGGAAAGTTTTTCGCAAACCTACATTTCCGGTGTCACGTACGGCCGAAACAACGTTACTCGCTCGAGTGCATTTTCTTTGAGTGCAAATCGCCTAGCGGGCTACCGATAGTTTTTTCTCTCCCTCTCTTTTTTCCGGAAACTTTCTACCTGGCTCGCGCGGCATCATTTTTCTCGCAATTTCACTGTCGTTCACCATGTCCACGTCGTTTACAGCGCGAATCACGTGGCCTGGTCGAAAAAATAAAAATCGCCAGTCCCTTCAAGAAGAAATCGGAAATAAGCCCCGGTGCAGGAATATGCGCAATGGAATCGTGGTTAATGGTCGCTTAATGAATTTATTATCATCGGAAACTATTTCAGGTACGGGCGCAGTTGGGAAATTATCTGGGTTAAAAGCGCATCGCGCGCGATTACGTAAGCGTTGCAAAGAACCATTAGCCGTATGCGGAAGCTGCAGCTTTCGCGTTCGACCATATGCGATCGCTCGAAGGCACACAGGTCGCGGTAACTGATATACTATAACCGATATACCATCACGAAAGATCTCTCTCTCTCTCTCTTTTTCGTCGAAAATCAAGTGATATATACCGGCCAAATTTATAATCGCTAAATTTATAATCGCATTTTTTTCCCGAGTCATTCAGGTTGATTGGAATTTGATATAAAACGCGCGCGTATTTTCAGTGCCTCCCCGGTCACTATCGAGAGACTCTATTCGGAATATTCGATTAAAAGTTCGACACTTACAACGATAACATCAAAATTAATTAACAAAAAAAGAAAGAGATTAACTGACCGCGCAACCGGTTCTTCCAGGACGCGCATTTTGCGTCAGATATCGATGCGCTCGAATGTAACGTCACCTATATAATTCTAGTATAATGATAATTATCCGTCGGTAATACAATCTCGTTCTATGAAACGTTAAATCATCTTTGGGCAGTCCGATTATAGTTCAAATATTGATAAGGATGCGCCCCGGCTAAGTATCATGTATAATATGTACACTAGAGTCCCGATTATTCGGACTCTGTTATCTAACATTCCTGTTCGTTTGATATATTTACATGAGAAGAACCGAAGGTACAATCTCTTCTCTCTTTGTAAATAACTCATGTCAACACGTAGTGTCAGACACTTCCAAGGGCACTCATATATCCGTGATATGTAAATCTAATATGTATCAAATGAGGTAAATGTAGATCTTGCTTTGCCTCCTCTTAAAAATAAGAGGATTCATTGTTATGTAAAATTTTTCTCGTGCAACACAACCGTATTTCGATCCTGCAATCTAAATTTCCGTTCAGTTCGTGTCATTCTATGCTTCTGCATTAACCGACGTTCTCATTTATCCGCTCTGACGGCTCTGTTACGTCGAATAATCGAGACTCTATGCCGCGTTTCTAAAATCTACGGCCGGAAATGTTAATGGTTACGCGTGTGTCGCAATCGATGGTGTCCATGTGCCACGAATTCCTTTGACAATGAGAAACTTGAAACGGACTATCGACTAGCTTTGTAGTATCCCTCATACCCTATTCTCGGTCAAACAAAAGAGATTATAGTTAAGGAGAAATTTCGGCTCTACGTTGGCCCTGGAAACGATGTCGAACTTGAAGAACCAGCGAAAAATTTCGGAATCTAATATTATTCAAGTTCTATTATCCTATCAGAAATTTCAATAGAATTTAGCGATTTAAGAGGAATGAAGAAAGAAAGCGGTTGTGTGAAATAAAAAATATCTAATAACGCTATGCGCACACACGCAGAACGAGGATTGAATCAAGTCTCGATTCAATGCATACAAGAGACCAAAGAGTTTCTAGTAAATTTCAGATACTCGACTCAGGCACGTTTTACGCGATACAAGCGTCTCGAACGTTGCCTAGGTAGATAGGTAGGTAAGAAGGAAGGTTCGTTCCAACAAACGTGGCCTGAGGCCCAGCATAAAAACCTTCCTCCTCCACCTTTTCACATCCCCTCTCCCTCTGTCGACCCGAAGCCGGTGCACTAACACGCGAGCGCATAGCGCTCACGCATGCGCGCCACACTCAGTTTAAACACACCAACGAACACGGACACCTCGTCGCGACGAACGCGCGTAACCTCGAGAAAGATATCTTCCACTCACCGAGAGTTCCGTAGAGCAGTACAACGCAGGCTATGAACGGCAGGCCGAGAAGCGGTCGGGGCCTCGCCCCGGCCCGTGCAGCTCCCATCCTCGTCGCGACGGTCCCCGGCGACGATAACGACGACGACGATCGCCGTACCTCCTCCCCCTTCGGTTCCTCTCTTTATGGCGGTTCTGGTTTCACGAACCGTCCTCTCAGGTCAGCGCGGCCGAACTACGCGCGTATCGTCTTCTCCTTTGTCGCGCGTCGATGTTTCACTCACGTCGTCTCGCGTTCAGTTTCAACGATCACTATACACCACCTGCACTTCTCATCGTGTCCCGATCTTTCGATCTCTTTCGCGGAGAATCGAGTCAGAAACGAACCCCGATATGTATAGCCACACTACACTCTCGCCGTACCGTGCACTCTCAACGACGACTCGCGCTGACTCGTCGCAACGTCCACGGGAATGATCGCGATACCTGAAGAACGACGCCGTGCCAACGCGACTACCAGACTGAACGCGCGTCACAGAACGCGACGTTCGCTTTGCCCTACCAGCTCGCTCGCTCGCTCGCTCGCTCGCTCGCTCACCGTCCGTACACAACGCCGTGCAGTACCGCGCGTCCTTCCCCCACGCTCTCCAGTGCCACTCTGTCCGCGTCGTGCCGCAGGCCGCGCCACCAACCCCTCACCGGCGTACAAACAGAGATGCGCCCCACCACCTCGCGGCTACTTGTTGATCTTCACTCAGGGACGTACGATCGCGCGGCGCGCCCGTCCCTCGTTCCTGACCTGGGAAAGGAAACATTTTCGTTACACTTTTTTTCTCACCGCTCGAAGCCGATATTTAAAGCATTCTCGTGATTTCCCAGACACTGTGTCAACAAGTTGCGTTATTGATAAGCTTTGTTTTGCTTTTATAAATGAGCGTATAACGAGAACATTATCTTTTAGGGAAATTTTTCTATTTTTAATAAAATGGAATAGATATTGTTAATACACAAATTTCGAAAGTATGTTGTTAATATTATTAGTCTTAATGTCAGTTCTCGCTAATGTCACTTTTACGATAAATGATTCATTGGTACGAGATAAATGTCATTACGAATAATAATTATACAGGGTGTTCGGAAAGTACCGGGACGCCCGAATATCAGGAAAAATATATGTTTTACAAAAAAATGTTTCAGACAAAAGTTGTGGCGTTTAAAAAGATGTATTTACTGATCACATCAGTTTGACCTTGGGTTGCGTAGCGAAGGTCAGGTCAAGGTCACATTAATTTTTTTAAATGGAA